ATAGAATGATTAGATATAGCTTGGAAGTGTTAAGCTAGAGATAGAATTATTAGATATAGCTTGGAAGTGTTAAGCTAGAGATAGAATGATTAGATATGGCTTGGAAAATCTCAATCCAAAGATTTGAGGGTAAAGTTTAGATTGAAGTGGTAATCAGGTGATAAGAGGTTAAATTATATTTTAGGAAGTGCATTTTATTAAAGATAAGAGGGTAAGGTAATAGTTGGAAACTGTTAATCCACAGACAGGGTAGTAAAGTTGAGAACTTCTACTTCATTAAGTTAAAAGATCTTTTATATTTTAGTTTCTATTGTGTTTATGTATCTTAAAATATCTCTGTCATAGTTTTGTTCACAAAAAAGAACAACTATGGTTTAATCTTAAGACACTGTTTGTAGAAGCGGAACTGTTGTTTTAAGTTATTATATTTTTTATGTGTTATTAGTTTTTGTCTACAGTAATATTTGGTTTCTATAGCTTGTCAACAGGATCAGTTCCAATGTGGAGATGGAAGCTGTATTGATGAAAAACAAAAATGTGATGGTCGACATGATTGTAGAGACTATTCTGATGAGCAGAACTGTGGTGAGTGTTTGAGAGTTTAAACCATTATAGTAATTCTGTAGAATGTAGTAGTGGTAAATATTTGAGAAAGACATTACTATTCATAAATACTTCTTAGTTTTAATATTAAAAATTTCAATTCAACAGTATTTTTCATCAAATAGATATCTTTTTAGAATTGTATATTTAACTCTAACTGACCTTACTTCAATCTTTTTTGACCTTGACAGTTTAGAATTAAAATTAGTACATTCATTTACATTCAACTTACAGCCCATTCTAAAGCAAATTATTGTTTTTTTTAAGTTAATTTATTTAAAACTTTGTTATTTATACAGTATAAAAAACGCCTCTGGATATATTAATGGTAAAATATTTATTTCTTGCATTTTGCTGTTTATAATGTACTCAACTTACACATTCAAAGATAATTTTTTACACTACCTTTCGTACTTGTTTTACTTTTAATTATTTTGTATTCAATAAATTGGCAAAACTTATAATAAACTAAAAATATTTTGTGCTAAATGATAAACAAATTTATTTTTTAATTTAAAATGTTTTATTATTTTTATGATTTAAATGTTCCAATACCATTAAACTCAACTTTTAATATTGCATTTTAAACCTCAGAAGTGTGTTATATGAAGAAATTAATAATAGGCTTAATATGTTCCATTAAGGGGAATTGTAAAACCATCAAATCCTGTTTGAAAGTGTTGTTTTTCAAAGAACGTTAACTCTGTGAAAACTATTAAAAAACTTCTTAGTTTCCTTTTTAATGCTATTTTTTAATCAACTAAAAAACTTACGCAAATCAAAGTGTTATTTAAAAAATTAAGTTTGTAAACTCGTATGAAATTTTGTTCAAATTTCGTACAAAGTTTTATTTCACTTGAACAAAATTATTTTTCCTACAACTTCCTATAAAGCTGGTATAACTTTATACCACAATACAGTTTTATGGAAACAGGATGTAAGTATATATTTATCTTATATAGTTGAAGATTGTCAAGAAGATCAGTTCACGTGTGGTGATGGAACATGTATCAATGAAAGACAAAAATGTGATGGACGATATGATTGCAGAGATTATTCTGATGAACAAAACTGTGGTAGGTGTTTACACATTAAAATCAACACTATTTTAGTACATTGAAACTTGAGAATTTAAAATATAACATGTTTAATAA